AGATCTCATATCTCTGTCCCTCTGCTGTGAGACCCCCAGGGCTCTTCCTCACAAAAACAAAAAGAACAAAAGCCAGGTCTAAATTGTGGCTTGCATTTTCCACTAGAGGGCAGCTTAAATTTTCAAAAGAAAATAACTAGCATTTTATAAAGTAGTGAGGAGTTTTCAGTTTCCTCTTCAGCCTCTAGGCCCCCTGTGAGGCCCTGGGGATAGAAAGGGAGCAAACCTAGTCCTTGCCTCATGAAACCTACACTGCACTAGGGAGCAGCACAGTAAACAGGAGAACACCCCTCAGGTGGAGCTTCAGAATTTAGAATAACTGCCCTTGTTACCTTTGCTACCTTGTGTTTGCCATGTTTCTCCTCTGATACCTGTTTGCTAGCCTTGCCTTGAAGCCAGGCAATTGGGGCCAGCTGGTTATACACTGAAACCTCAACAAACTGTGAGCTTAAAAAAAGAAACCTTTCCCCATTAATTTTGAGTGTCGGTATTTTGTCTTAGCAACAAGAGAAAAGTAACTAACACAGAAATGTGGTACCAGAGAAGTGGGGTCGTTGCTGCGACATTAGCTGGCCATGTGACTTGAGATCCTTTGGAACTGGCTTGTGGGAAGGGGTAGAATTAGAAAAGGAGATGCTGGATGAAGAACTAGAGCTGGAACATTAGGCTGTTCTGTATGGAGATTCTGGCCAGAGTTCAGGAGACCAGAAAGCCAGAAGATCAGGCTCAGGAGTTTTCTGCTGGGAAGGACTGCATTGGCTAGTGAGCTCCAGATGGTGTGTGTTATGGCTTGGCAGAAAGTTTGTATGCGTTTTGTTCATATCCAGAGACTTTGCCTGAGACTGGTGAGGCAGGTTCAAGGTGGGAAAAAACTATATTCAGCTAGTAAAATTGCAAGTACAGTTGCTTAGGTAATACTGATCCAATGAGAAATCACAAGGTGGACAAAACTGTGAACAACCAATAAGATTACAACATGTATAGTTGCTTAGGTAATATTGATTAAATGGGGATCCAATGGGGAAGCAAGTCACACAGCAAGCATACAAGAAATTGTGGGAGACTGCCTGCAAGACAGCTGGCTGCTTGCAATGCAGTTCCCTGAGCGAAGGAGTTGCCATGTTGTAAGTTCTGATATTTACAATAGCCATTTTGTAGAGCTGAGCTTCGCTTTCCAGAAAAACACCTATTTTTTGTAAATCACGTGTGCTCTGTGGAGTCATAATTGTGGCCTTGTACAGTTATCCTTGAGATTGTTTTTCATCCTTGAAATTGTTTTTACTTTCATACTATTGCCTGATATAAATATGAGAGCCATCTTGAAATAAAGAGAACCCTGCTTGAACCTGAGCATGACTCAGTGTGCTTACTCTCGGTGAATCCTCTCAGGTTTGGGGCCTGCTGGCAGGACCCCGACGTCGCGGCTCGCGACAGAAATGAACAAGTGCCAGGGATTTAGCTCAGTGATTCTGCTGCCTGCCTCACAAGTGCAAGGACCTGAGTTCAATCCCTGGTACAAAAAAGAAAAAGAAAAAAGAAAAGAAATGAACAAGGCTTTTGTTGGTAAGGGGTTGGGGTTGGTAAGGGGTGGGTCAGGGATCTTTCTTAGTCTTAAGGAAGTTCTTAGTCCCCAACCCAGGTGACTGATACCTATTTAGAATATCAATCACTGCTATACATGCTATTCAGGTGTGGTAGATCTTCTTTTACAATGCTGGCTTTCAGTGAATGTGTCTCCACTGTCTTCCATGTTGGCTCTTTGAGAGCCAGCCCTGTCCAACTACCTACAAGATATCTAGTTAACTTATCTATCTACAATACTTTTACCCAGATTTACATTGAGAATCAGGAGCACAGAGCCCAGAAAAATGATTTAAAATGTTTTGAGTTTGGCCAGACAGGAAGCTCCAGTAAAACTGTGGGCTGCACAGATAGAGCAGAGGAGATCTTGACCAAGAAGAAATAAGAGAATTCTTTGAGAAGTAAGCCCCAGAGCACCATGTTCCAGAATGGGCAGCCTAGAGAATTTGCTGCTTGGAATTGGATTCAGAGTGTTCCGTGGTCTTCACTGGATTCCTACAGTCAAGAAGGAAGGAAGGAAGGAAGGAAGGAAGGAAGGAAGGAAGGAAGGAAGCCTGGCTACTGCTCCAGCTGCCGGCAGACCTTGGCATCATCCATGTGGTGCTGGTTTTAGGTGCGTGCAGAATGCGAGAGTTGTGGGGTCAGGAAGGCTTCCAGCCAGGTATCAGAAGAAAGCCTGGGAGACCAGTCTGTGTGCTCCTGAGAGGGCACTGTGTGAAGCTGTGAGTGTGAAGCCAAAGATGCAGTGGAGACCCCCGAAGTTTGGAGAAGCCAGACGTGTGGATCACCTGGGGGAAGCTGCAAGGAGGGAGCAGAACTGGCCCAAGGAAGAAGCCTTGGGAGCCACAACCATTGCAGTGCTATAGGGGGAGAGCCACTCAAGCCCTTTAGAGTTCACAACTCATCACAGATTGGCAGGGATGCTGGAAGTGGAACTGTGGGGTTTAATGTTTGCCCAGATGGATTTGGGATT